TCAGTCAGCACTCTTTGCTGCTCATGTCCCAGCACAAAAATTCTGTGCGGATCCCAGATGGCATGAATTACTAGCTAGTGTGAATGGCTAGACTGTTGTTGAGTTTTTTAAGGGGTTACAGCAATCCATGAGTTTAGGACTAGTTGCATGTGCTGAGAACATCGTATCAAAAGCAGGCAGAAATTTGACCTTATATTTGGGCCATGCATATGCATCAGGAATACTTTGCTATGGTGCTGCTGCAAACAGCTGAAAGCATAGTGACTACACAAGCTCTTTACTGGCTTATTTTGAGGTCATCTGAAAGTTTGTTGTGCATTGCAAATGTGTTTTTTCATCTTAGCGTTCACCTTCTCCAACACCATTAAGTCAGCATAGCTTGTTCTGCTGTCAGGTAAAATCTGCCAAGAGCTTTGAGACAAAAATCTGAATGTTGCAAATCCTCCCCTCTACAGTCTTGCATTTTGTTACAGCCTCCCACTGCCAGTGAAGCAAATTAGATATTTGAGTGCAGACTCAGATAACGTTTGAACTTTCCTCCAAGCTCTGGTGTTATGTATGTATAAGATCTGTAAATGTCTTGCCACTTTGTGTGGAGTTGCTTGAATCATTGTAAATGTCTAAAATTCCAAAGAAAATTTGTCATCGGCATTTTAAATGTCTAAACCTGTAAAAAGCTCTAGAGAAAGTTAACCATATTTGTTTATATTGCTGCAGTTGACTGTCTTTGTTTTCTGGAATTTGTCATAAAGTCAATTGAAAATGGAGGTGGAAATATAACAACAGTAACAAAAAAAAAAAAAAAAGCCTGTGCAGGAAAAAGGCAGCAGGTAGAAACTTTTTAAAGGTTGAGGGCAAATTTTCATTCTACTTCCCACCTGACTAATCTTCAGGTGAGTTTGGATAAGCTTTGGATTACGTCTCAAAACTCATTATAACATAATACAGCTATGGATATCTTTTGCCATTGCTAAAACTGATATGTAGCATTCTGCACATAACAAGGCAGGAAATACGTAAATAGCTTGATGTAGATATATATCTGTCAAGAGTTATTTCATCCGGTGATAAATCAGTCTCTTTCTGGCACTTTTTGTTTTCCATGTTAAAATAAAGACTAGAAAGACATTTGAAAGTGGTAGGGAAAATTTCCATCAGCTGAGATTTCAACAAGGATTTCCGGTTGGTATTCTATAAAGCAGCCTACAGAATGACAGAATGGTCAGGATTGGAAGTGACCTCTGAAGATCATCTAGTTCAACCCCACTGCCAAAGCAGATTCACCTACAGCAAGGTGGACAGGAACACATCCAGGTGGGTTTAGAATATCTACAGAGAAGGAGACTCCACAACCTCTCTGGGCAGCCGGTTCCAGTGCTCTGCCACCCTCAAGGTATAGAAGTTCTTCCTCATATTAAGGTGAAACTTTGTGTGTTCCAGTTTGTGTCCGTTGCCCCTTAACCTGTCCTGGGCACCACTGAAAAGAGTTTGACCCCATCCTCTTGACACCCACCCTTAAGGTATTTATAAGCATTGATGAGATCCCCTCTCAGTCTTCTCTTCTCCAGGCTGAACAGACCCAGCTTTCTCAGCCTTTCCTCATAAGGGAGATGCTCCAGGCCCCTCATCATCTTTGTTGCCCTCCACTGGACTCTTTCCAGTAGGTCCTTGTTTTTCTTGAACTGAGGAGCCCAGGAGTGGACACAGTACTCCAGATGTGGCCTCACCAGGGCAGAGTAGAGGGGGAAGATAACCTCCCTCGACCTGCTGGCCGCACTCTCCCTAATGCACCCCCAGATACCACTGGCTTTCTTGGCCACAAGGGCACATTGCTGGCTCATGGTCAACTTGTTGTCCACCAGGACTCCCAGGTCCTTCTCTGCCGAGCTGCTCTCCAGCAGGTCAAACCCCAGCCTGTACTGATGCATGGGGTTATTCCTCCATAGGTACAGGACCTTACACTTGCTCTTGTTGAACTTCATCAGATTCCTCTCCACCCAACTCTCTAGCCTGTCCAGGTCACAAAGAGATAGATAATATGCAAAGCAAAGCAAAAGAAAATACAGAAAGCTGTAGTTTCCATATGATAAAAAACTTCATCTTCATTGTAAAAAATATTTAAAGGTCAGTATTAAATTCAGTGGTACTAAATTTTGAGTTCTGAACATTATCAAACCAGAACATTTTATACAAACAATATCAGTATTTCAGATTAAACAAAAACAGGAAACAAAAAAATTCTTTCTCAAAGTTTCTTCATTGGTCAGAACTGATTAAGGCTGCTGATATGTTTCCTACATTTTAATTAAACCATATGATGTGAAAATTAAAACTGCCTTGGTTATAAATGAAACAGCTTGCTTAATTTTAGTGTTAACTCATTCAATTGAATGCTTTATGTCCCTTCTTCTCCTCCTTGCAGTTCTATTTTGGTATCATCAACAAACTTGATGACGGTATACTCCATTCCTTCATCTAGGTCATTGATGAACAGGTTAAACAGGACTGAACCCAGAACTGACCTCTGGAGAACACCACTCGCTACAGGCCTCCAGCTAGACTCTGCACCACTCATCGCAGCCCTCTCGTCTCTGCCATTCAGCCAGTTCTCAGTCCACCTCACTGTCCATTCATTTAACCCACACTTCCTGAACTTTCCTATGAGGATGTTATGGGAGACAGTGTCAAAAGCTTTGCTGAAGTCAAGGTAGACAACATCCACTGCTCTCCCCTCATCTCCCCAGCCAGTCATGGATTCATAGAAGGCTCTCAGATTGGTCAAGCACAATTTCCGCATGGTGAATACATGTTGAATACTCCTGATAACTTTCTTTTCTTCCAGCTGCTTAAAGATAATATCCAGAATCTGTTCCATCACTTTTCCAGGGATGGAGGTGAGGCTGACTGGCCTGTAGTTTTCTGGGTCTTTCTCACCCTTTTTGAAGACTGGAGTGACATTGGCTTTCCTCCAGTCCTCAGACACCTCTCCTGTTCTCCATGACCTTTCAAAGACAATGGAGAGTGGTTCAGAAATAACATCTATCAATTCCCTCAGCACTCATGGGTGCATCCTGTCAGGGCCTATGGATTTGTGGGTGTCCAGTTTGCCTAAATGTTCTCTAACCCGATCCTCCTCAACCAAGGGAAACCGTTCCTTTCTCCAGGCTTCCTCTCTCACTTCCAGGGTCTGGGATTCCTGAGGGCCTGCCTTAGCAGTAAAGACTGGAGCAAAGGTGGCAGTCAGTAACTCTGCCTTCTCTCTATCCTTCATCACCAGGACACCCACCTCGTTCAACTGCAGGTCCACATTTTCCCCAGTCTTCCTCTTGCTATTGATGTATTTGAAGTAGCCCTTCTTGTTGTCTTTGATATCTCTTGCCAGATTTAATTCCAAGTGGGCCTTAGCCTTCATTGTCACATCCCTGCATGTTCTATATATTCCTCCCAAGTGGCTTGTCCCTTTTTCTGCATTCTATTAACTTCTTTCTTCCATTTGAGTTTTGCCAGAAACTCCTTGCTCATCCATGCAGGTCTCCTGCCCGGCCTTGCTTGATTTCTAACTTACAAGGGATGCACCGGTCTTCAGCTTGGAAGAGGTGGTGCTTGAAGTGGTGCCTTGGAGGAAGTGATGCCTAGTTCAAAGCAAGCTGGCTGCAACATTCTCCTGGAGTGGCTTTGAAAGATGTGGCTCCTTAAATGCATCCCGACTTTATATATAGTTAAGGTTTTATTACATGGCTTGAATGACCTGGCTGGGTAATCTACAATGGCTGAACAAAATGGTGGAGTCATTTCTTCTACAAGCTACAGCGACAAATGCTGGTACAAATTTTGCTGACTACTTTGAGTAAATGCGCTGCTCTTCTGGGCAAACAGCACCATTGGTTTCAGGGCTGGATGACTGAGATAATCAACTAAGTTTAACTTTGAAATACTGTTGGATTTCACCGTGTTTGCTGTATATGTAACATTTTAATAATTTCTCTTATTGGAAACCATGGGACCTAGCACTGGCCAGGAAATCTCACTATTGTTTCATCCCACTATAAATACTGTACTCAAGTGACTTTTTCTTTGAGTTTCCATATGAATTTTGAAATTGGAATAATTATTTTTATTTCTGTTATTAAGTGGACTTTTATTATTTGGAGTAGCACAGGGCTGTATTACTCTGGGTAAAAGAAAACATAACCGGTGCTGCTACTGCAAGTTAAATATTGGATATTTAAAATAAACCCAGCAAATTTGCCTCATGTTTTGCCCCATATAGTAGATTCAAGTAGATGAGGGAGATTTTACTTTTAAAGTTATGTAGCATTGGTATAAATAGGCAAAAAAAATTACTGTCATTAATGGCTGTATTTTGGCTTATATTTAGAATAAATCTGGTCTGTTTGCTAGGGTCCTTGTGCATTGGAGGATGCTTTGGTTTTCAGTTGCAGCTTGCCTTGTTCACACCCCCGTAGTCCCATCAGTGCAGAGCCACTGCAGGATGTTTGTATCATGTCCTGAAGCACATAGAAGTGCAAGCGAACTTGCTATTCCTTCGGTGTCAGTTCGTGAAGTCAGCATAGACCAAATGAGTTTGATTTTTTTGACATAAAGCTAAACTTGAGCTTGAAACTGGAGGTGCTGGGAAACACAAAGCAGATGTGGCCACATGAAGATGGTATGCCTGGGCTAGCAGATAAGCCCTTCTGCACCCAGGCATGGTCTTGATATGGGGCATTTTAATAAGTTTAGATCCTTCTAAGAATTGAGGTTTTCGTTTTTGATCCCCCTCATTTGTGGTGAAAGTAAAATTTTGAAGTCAGGTGTGTTTTCCCTGAAGGGACAGTAACATTTCCTACTGAGTTTCAAAGGTTTGTGTCTGAATAACAGTACCTGTTTCAGCCTTGAGGGCCGTTAGAAATCGAATGAACTTGTTTAACTATGGAGGTTTTGGGCTGACCGAAAAAAAATTTGTCATGTTGATTATCTTTGCTTTCTATTACTTGCAGGGGAACGTGACCTTTTCTTGCTCAGAACCACAAATTGTTCCTATCACCTTTGTCAGCACCAGTCGAAGCTACTTGCTACTACCTGGGACTCCTCAAATTGACGGTTTGTCAGTCAGCTTCCAGTTTCGAACATGGAATAAAGATGGCTTACTTATGTTCACCGAATTGTCTGAAAATTCAGGACCTCTCTTGATTTACCTCCATGGTGGGAGATTGACACTACTTATTCAGAAAGAGACAGAGAACCCAGTAGAAATCAGTGAAGGTACTTAATTTTTGTTTACTCTCACCTGTCTCCCTTTAAAATACAAAGGTTCAACCGCACAGGATGAAAGGATAGTGAAATAAGGTGCCACCCAATCTTCCTTTCTCTTTTCAAATTTTCTATTGCTTTCCAATAGTAGAACCACTCTGGGCAGCTTGAGGTAAATCTAAGCGTGGGAAGTTGGCATCTTGAGATCTCCAGACTCAAACTACCTGACAATTAGCTCAGGCTCTTAAGAACACATTAGCTATGTGTTCTTAAACAGTCACGCTAAATTTTCTTCAGCCAGGTCACATGAAGACCTTCCTGTTTCCTGTCCTCAGATTATGCTGAAGTCAGCTGGGAGCCAGCTCAGCCACTGCATGATTCCCCATCACAAGTTAAGACAGCCTCAGAGCTGATTTTCTTCCTCTGACTGTAGCTTTACTCTCTGCCTTTATGCTACACTCGGAAGAGAATCTAACCATGAGCTTCCTCTCCTCACACTCCCTCATTGGCCTCCTTAACCAGTTTGCAAGTTGCTTTGTGCAGTGCAGCTGGTGGAATGCAAGAGGGTGAAATGGAGTTGCCTCTCTGACTTAAAATTCAGGGGAAATTGCTTGTAAACACTTACCAGGACAGCTATGCATTAGCTCCCAGAGACAACAGGGAAACAATTTCAGACTGTACGACAGAGGCAGAACCAGAGTGACCCAGCTGCCACCCCAGTGTGACCTATATAAGCCATGCTGGCATCCCAAACAGAAATGCTCTTAGCCCAGAACCTCTGCATATCCCTTGCTGCTATGCAGCCATGCTGAATGGGAGACTGGGAGATTAATTTTCTGTGTAGGTTGAATACCCAGTTTCCAAAGGTGGATCAGTAATAGACTGATGGAACTCAGATGGAACTAAATAATAATAATAATAGTATTTTCTAAAAGAGCAGCTGTTTAAAAACATGTAATATTAAAATATTCCTAGTAGAGTCTAAAAGAGGGCAGATGTGTCTATTAAAAGAAGCAGAGATAAAATCTGACAGAATTGTCAAAGCAGAGCTGTTCTGTATGCATGTTTCATTCCTGTTTATAGTAGAAAATGAGGCATCCCTGCACCTATCCTTATTCATGTAGGTTGCTACAGCCTTAGCTTGCTGCAGTTGAATGCTGAAAACTGAGTTTCCAGCCTCTATTGCAGTCCTAATTAAATTGTTGACAAAGCTGAGACAGTGTCAATATTTGGTTGGGTGTATTTGTTTTTATGTAGTTCTGAAATCATGAACCTGAGCCCAGCCTTTCGTGCTATCCAAAACATTGCTAAACTGCCTACTTACACATGGAAAATATGCAGAAATTGCAAGTGCCATGTTCTGCAGATGTCAGGTACTCACAATAAACTCATGCTTGCTCAAGAATGGACCTATTTTTGCCCCAAATAGGACCTATTTTGTTTTGGCATATTTTCAAACTTCAACAACATATTTCCTTCAAAATGGACTTGTTCCAGTTGAAAAATCATCCATTTTTTTCTGGGAAACCAGCCTCTTATTCTATGAAAATTGTGCATGCGTTAACAGCCATTACTGCGGGAAATTGTCTCATTTTCAAATTCATAATGAAATGGCTTTTCATACACGTAACACCCACAATTTTTTTATTTTGTTTTGAACTGTTCTCACACCTCTTTGTGTCACTAAGTGCTCATTTGTTTCTTCTGAAAGCTACATTAGTGAAAAATATTCTGTTAGGGAGGGGAGTAAATGCTAGTTGTCTGTGCCTGATCTCAGTGACTCCAGCCTGACAGTGGCGTATTTTGAACTGTAATTAGGTTACTTTTGATCTGCACCACTGTGTGTGAGCTCAGAAGCTTGCCCACTGATTTTAACAGCTGTCAGAATAGAGGATGTGGAGTTTCTTTGTAGCTGTGTGATGCTGTTTCAAAAAGCCATGAGATGCAACACTGGTTTTCCGAATAAGGAGAGCTTACTTCCCACTTTGCACAAGCATCTAGAAGAGAAAGAGGCTACCCAGTACCATAATCTCTCATGTACCTGTGTAGGTTCCTGATCAGAGCAGCAGTGCCAGCTCTCACAAGACCCATGTCAAAATCCAATGTAGAAAGGCTTCCATACATCCATCAAGACGACTGTGTGCTAACTTAGTGCTGAAGGGTTTTAAGAAACACAAATCCTACTGATTCCTAGTGGAGTTTGTCCAGTTTCATACTGGAGCCTGAGACAGGGCATGACCATCTCATTGAATCTAATCCTTTGCAATCCCAGGTGTGTGTTTAGTATCAGAAGCTCACTAGAGATCTGCACACTCCCGTGAGCTCTAAGCTTTTCCCAACAGACTGAAGATAAGACATAAACACCCACAAAATGGTAATAATGTGGTACCAGAAAGGTGAAGGGCCTGGCTAGCTTGATGAGTGCCTACAGTATCAGAAGCGGGTTAGATTAAAATGTGAGATGACCCACTTAAATACTTTCAAAAAGCTTTCCCTTCCTTGGGTCTTTTCTTCTATGCCAGTTTGTTTCCAGAGGTAATGAGTTCTTTTCAGCTGCCAGTTCTCCCTTTTTGGGGGGTCAGCTGCACATTTGTGGTCACAAATTAGAAGCAAAAGGATGTTTGAAGAACACACTTGTCTCCTGCACCTCTTTTTTCACTCTTTCTACTTGTTTTTTTTGCCAGGCACCAATCTCCACGATGGGCTTTGGCATTCTGTTAACATCAATGCCAGAAGACATCGCATTACCCTGACACTGGATAGCAATGCTGCTACTGCTAGCCATGCCACCACTGTCTCAAGGATCTACTCTGGGAACAGCTACTATTTTGGAGGTAGATTTTTTCAGACAGATGCAGGACTGGTTTTCATGATGCAGATCCTCAGGTGTTCACCATTGAGGTCTCCCCAGGTGCACTCTGTTTGCTGCAGTGCATACAGCACTGTAGGAAGATTGAAGGGTCTTGGTCAACCCTGACAGAGACAGAATGAGCAGAATTGCGAACACAGCTGTATAAGTGAACTACTGGTAGTGGTAACCAATGGGTACCTACATCTAGCTGACCAAACATCCAAAAGCTACATAGCTGTATTAGCCACAAGTGTTTTTTCTAGTTAAAAAGCCTGAGGATCATTAGTGGTATTATTATTAATATCCCTGTAGATACCACTGTCCTGATCAGGCTCAATGACTTTAGACTTCAGAGCTTTATTGACATATGGCTTAGATCTACAAAGGTAGTTAGGTACTGTGCTCTCATGGAAATGAATGTAGGTTTAGCGCAATTTTGAAAATGGAAAGAACAGTCTTGAAAAATACTACCTTCTGCTTTTTGGAGTGGAAGCATTAATTTAGATAAAGGGAATGTCATCAACTATCTTTTTATCTAACATATTTCTGTGTAGTGCTTACCGTAGTGAGGCTCTGATCTCAATGAACTCTCTCGATACAGCACTAAGTGGGGATGCATAGGAGGCTTTGAATCTCAGAGAGGGCCAAATACTGAGGAAGCTCAGATAGGAATGGTTTTCCTGCTTGCTATCCACAGGATTTCATCCTTTTAATCTGTGCATTGCCTCAGCAGCAGAATTTAACCCATAATGATTTTACAATTTGCACAGATTTTTTTATGGGGGTCAGTTGCTATCAACTGTAGAGTTTAAAGAAGATGCAAAAAAACCCCCCATATTTTGAGAAGGATTTATACCATAGCACAAGGAATGAAAACACTTGGAATAATGAGCTTCCAAGTTCTTGCATCAGGAAATTCCAACAGAAATAGATGAACATTCCAATATTCTTCTCTGCCTCTTCTCTTTTTCCCACAGGATGCCCTGACAATTTCACCGATTCCCAGTGTTTAAATCCCATTACTGCTTTTCAAGGCTGTATGAGGCTCATCTTTATTGATAACCAGCCCAAGGACCTAATTTTAGTTCAGCAAGGCTCCCTGGGGAATTTTAGTGATTTACAGATTGATCTGTGTGGCATCAAAGACAGGTAATTATTGTTTCTTCTTTCTTGTATTTGTTATTTTTTTCATCCTAGTGGTTTATAAATACAGGTTGCATTAAGTGAAAATTCTACTCTGCCAACATTACGGATATTAGGCATAATAGAGCTACTAATAGAAAATATTACAACAAAGATAGGAGGACTGGGGGGGAAATGGTTTCAATTACATGAGACTCTCTTCACATTGACTTGTAGGAAATAGAGTATGCAAATTCAATCAAACTACAGATTGGTGAAAGGATTAAATTTTATGCATAAACAGCATTTGATTGCTTTCAAGTTTTAGAGGGAAATGGAAGAGAAGGAAAAATTATTTGATTCATCAGAACATGTCATCCCCTTAATATATATGCTGGTTTTGCTTAAGTAGATCATTTACAATTTTTCTTGTTAGCCATTACAGCATGGTATGTTTATAATGAAGATATAGTAGACGTCATGCGACATACTACACGTTCGGTAAGGACAATGTAACGATGAAATGTCTGTGTCTACCAGAGACACATTTCAGTTTAAATACTCATCTGAGTTCCTCCTAAGCTGAAACCTCACAGGAAACCCAGGTTTTCTCATAAAGAGTAGAGAGGAAATAAGCAACCAATTTTTTTTTTTTTTTTTTTTAAGTATTTCATAATTTCTCCTTTGCTTCCTATGGATTTTTTCTGTCTAAATATTTTGGAATTATTTCTGTAAATGCATACTTTGAAGTTAGTATGTGGAATAATAGGCTGTGATTTTGTGTTTTTTAAATCTAGCTGAGTTCTGAAAAATGGAAATGGAATTGCTGGAAATTTCATGTGCTTCAGATAGTTGAGAGAGTAACAAGGATATTTTGGAAATGCGTTAGGAGCTTAAGTGTTTAACGTATTTTTTTCAGATATGTTGCTTAGGGAGCTGAAGGCTGATCTCCATTATTGCTTACTGTAGGAGGGATCAGCCTACTGGAGCTGCAATCTTTTGAAACGCGGGCAAAACCTCTGTTATGCGAGAGCTTTGTGCTCAACTTCCTATGTTCATGTTTGTTAACTTATACAGAAAAAGTACTGACTCTGCTAATCAAACCTGTTTCCATGTTTAATGATGACTGAATTCAGAGGGGTATGAATTTCACACTTGGTGTGCCTAAAATGGTAGACAGAATTGGTAAGATGCAGCTGTTTTAACCAAAGGAAGTAAAATGTGAACTTTCCTGAGAATTAAAAGAAAGTAAGTATTTTACTGTTTTCTTGGAAAAACGGGTTCTTTATGATCAAGTGGACCATTCAAAAGCAACTTGAATATTTTTGTATTGAAACAGAAGAGAACTCTTCTGTTACAATGCAGAGGTGCTGTGAGGTGTCTCCAGTGCCTTCATTGTCACCAAATCCAGGCTACAATGTAAATCTGTGGTACTATTGCAAGTGTCTTCCTCATCTTCAGTATCCCAAGGATGACAAGCATCAGTTTGTGATCATACTATACAATTATTTCGGGCAAGGGTCCAGACTTAATAAGAATGGTGGTGCTTTACATAATAATTGCCTTGAATATATCACACACGTAAACAAAAGTTATACATGATCTAGCAAAGATCAAAGCAGTCTTTTCCAATGCAGTTCTCTGAAGAGCCTTAAATTTATGTGCCTGTACAATACAATCTAGATAGATCGATAGTAGATATGATCTATAGTAGTTATGATCATATAGTAGATGTGATCTACCTAGGTCATATGGTAGATATGATCACAAAACCAAGGTGGATTTAAAAAAGGAAAAGAAAGATTTGATTTACAGTTGACAAAAGTGATTCTCTTATGGCTGGATTTGGTGTATCAGTGGAGGTGCCCTGAAGGGCAATAGAGAAGACTGCAGTGTGGGAAAGTGTTGGGCTGAAGTTCAGAAATTCCTCTCATCACAGAAGGGCATGAGCCTCACTGGCACCATGGAGATTGCAGCTTTCTTGTTCAGTGAAACACCCAGCGCTCTCTCCCTGTCTGGTAACTCCAATAACTGTATTGAAGCTGTTTTGCAGGGAAAAAGTAAGGATATTTTTTTCTGTCCAAATCATATTACACATTTTACGTATCTGAGATACAATCTTGAGAAAAGTTAAATTTACAGAACTGATTTCAGGAAGTTACAAAAGTTGTTCAGGGATTCGCAGGGTGAAGTACTGCTGGTGCAGTACTGAAGTCAAGAGTGGTCATAGCAGCAAAGGACAGTTGGAAAGAGGGATGAAATTCAAAGAAAATAAATAAGGAAAATGCAGACAAGAGACAAATCCTTTGTGTTATTTTGCCAACACAATTGATCCTAAGCCAGTGGATGAGCTGGGGAAAGACTGAATAAGATATTCATGGAGTGTGTTCCTCCTAACCATTTTTGAGTATTTCAGGTTCTGCAAGCCTATATTGTAGCATAGTTGGCTATACCAAAGTATACATGGAAAGTTTGGGAGGACAGGAGATTTGAATTCAAATCTAAAGACTGTATTGCTGTCTAGTCTACATGGTGTACCCTTGAGTATGTTTTCAAATCTTGTTCAAATTGGTTCATTGCACAAAATGTCTAACACTTCCAGTCACTGTAATTCAACTAGTCACTGTAGTTCGACTTGTGTTCTGTATCCTAGCAGCTCCAGACTATAGGAAAGTTGGGGTCTGGCTCCAGCTGTGCAGTATCCAGCTGCTCATTCTCTCTCTATCAGGGGTGTTAAAACTCTGTAAAATCATCTTCTCCAAGAAATGTGATCTCTCCTTTCTTAAGATTTATTGCTGTGTGCACTGTAAAGCATGTGTTTTTGCAATTTTAACACGTGGGAATGGTGTAGCTTAATTAACATGTAAATGGGACATTTGTCTTAGTTATCTAAGCAAAAAACCTCTTCTAAGGAATATGCCTCTATTTAGAAAGCAGTTTATTTGTTACAGTCTTGTAGGCCAAGATCATTCAGACCTGGGCTCTGAAAGCAGTGGTTAGGCAGCTCACTGCAACTTGTGCATGCTCTTAAAAAGAGAATTAATGACTTTGTTTTGAAAGATGATAAACTGGGGCTACTGTTGATGCCAGCAGTATGTTTTTGAGAGAGAATCTAGCTTTGTAAGCATATTATACACACCCCCCTCCCCGGCCTTCGCACACTCAGGGATTCCTCGTATAAAGTGATGAGCCTCCATTGGTTTAAATGGAGCCATCTGAGGGACTAAGTCTTAATATCTCATCATCTCTCATTTCTAGTATTTGAACTATATGTGTGGTTAAGTGAACTTGGCATGAATGTTTTCTGTCTCCCTGTATTTATTATTTCCATTCTTTGATAACTATTTCTCAGGAAATAAATGCCATGTGACTAGCTGAGCTATCAGAGAGTACACACAAAATGAGCATATCCATAGAAATATGCAGAGTTTTGCCTTCTTACTGTTTGGTGGCTGGGGAGACAGTGCCAAATGAAAATGGTTTTGGAGACACAGTGAACTGGACTCTATTGCCAACCCTGCTTTGAGCAGGAGGCTTTTGCTAGGGACCTCCAGAGACTCCTTGCAGCCTCAGCAGTCCTCTGAACAAGGCCACCCAGTAGCTGCTCTGGTCCTGGCTGAGTGGGTAGTTCAGGATGTATCTGCAAGAGCTGGAATTAGCAGATAACACACAGAAAACTCATGTCTTCTGTGCTTTCAGTAGGACGTTAAGATGTTGTACAGTCTGGAGTTGAACACAGCAATATGGACTGTCCCGATGATGGAAGAAGGCTAGTTAGCACCATCTCTGATTAAAAGATTGCTTGTTTCTAGCCCTCAGCTGCAGTGTCAGCATCACTGGTGTTCCTACTGTTGCATATCAAGTTGTCTCTGATTTGCCATCCCCTTGTATGGTACCTACGTGTTGTCCTTAGGTGACACATGCTGTGCAAGGAGAGGAATCCCTGATGTATTCATATCAGAGTTATGTCTGCTCCACAAGCTCTGCAAAGTAGTACTGTATTCCCTTCTTCACCTCCTTCAAGAGAAAACTGCTCCTGCAAACTGTTCCCAATGCCTTGTGGAAAAGGAAAAGGAAGCAATTTTTCTTGTAACAATGCGTGTGTAGGATTCTTGGCATTATCCCCACTGCCTGACTACTGTTAATCCAACTTCTTTTTTTTCTTTTGTTCATAGTATGTATATTTGCTGTGTTTGTCCAAATACACAGATTGCTCAGTCTTTTCTGAGGATGTTGCAAAGTGTGGAGCTTACACTGCTCCTGTTATGAAGTGTTAGACGTCATAGCTGCTTGCAATGCATTTACCCACATTCCAATGAGAGGTAAAGAAAAAATGAGACAATACCCTGCTAAGCCATACAGGTCTGCTCCATATTTAAAAGGAAGTGGATTTCATTTTATCTCTCTTTGTTGTTGTCTTTTCAGCATTTCTGCTTGGTTAGGAGTGCCGGTGCACATTAGGGGTTGTTTGCTTTACACTGAATTAATAAGTCAGAAAATAGTTTCTTACAACATGCTGGCCTTTCCCCCCTGTGGCATGGTAGAGAGCAGAAAGTAACAAGGCAGACTTGTCTGGAAGGCCAGGTGCCATGAAGTCCTTGAATTCAGAGACTTTTTGTTGGGGAGGAAAAGAGGTATCTTTGAGTATCTATGCAGTCTTTTGCAGCAGTACATGTACTATGTTGACCATCTCTGACTCAAAGCCACCTGGCATAGGCCCAAACAAATAAATGCAGACTCTCTTTGAATTTATTTTCAGTTCAGAGCGATATAGATTAAGTTCATGGCTACAGGGACCGTACAGCCCTCACTCCTGGTGTTTTGCACTGTAAGTGTTTTTTGGGAAGGGAGGCATCTTCTGGGGGTGACATATTAAGCCTAAAAGCTCCCAAGGGAAAGCCTAAGCAGTAAGAAGGTCTAATGAGAAGAGAATAATGCTTTCTGTCTTTGGCCCTTAATCTGTAGGGAGGACGTTGGTGTCAAGGGATGGGGAGATGGCAAGCTGCATAAAAAATTCGTTTACGTCT